GCATTACTTTGTTAGGCATATTGTTAAATTTGAAAAATTATTACCCATTAGGTTGCAGTGCTTTCAGTTTAGTTAAGTTTCTTCTAGGTGAGTTGAAAGCCTGAACTTGGAGCTGATAGTTCAAGCAGATAGATTTTCTAAAGATTTCATTGAAAATTTTGGATAAATACATGTTTTTCTATTAGATTATAGTTTTTAATATAAAAGGAAGATAAACTCAGTAATGTTTTTCAGTGCAACATATAGCCATGATGAGATTTGTTTCTTACTGATCAATATTTTCATCTCTCCATTGCTCTGAACACTATTTTTGTTTATTTTTCAGGTTCTTTTTAAATCATTGATTACTGACAACTATAACACAGACAAGTACATTGTACATACAGATTTAACAAATTGTTTTAACGCAAATATTGTAATGGAGAAAGTTTCAAAGCACTGAGGCACAGAGAGAACAAGGGAAAGCAAAACAATATCCAGGCTTTCTATTGCCTTGATGGTCATTTGATCCTACATTGTGCTCTTACCTTTCCTCGAAGTACTTTTAACTAATAATGATTGCTGTTGCACAGTCGTTGATTATAGGTGATGAAGTTGAAGCCTCCTTTATTCTATAGCAACAATTAAAATATTTTTATTGACCCTAGCCGCCTCCTAGTAGTTTTCAAGTACAGATCCCATGGGAGGGGTCTACTGTGGTGGCTCTCACAGTCTGCAGCGTCCACAATGTCCGTGTGCCAAGCGCTCATCTCATCCCACAACATCTTTTATACAGCAGTGATTATTAACTGGGGTGTCCACATCCTTGGTCCCAAATAAGTATTCTTTTATACTGAAGTCATACAAATTAACCAGTGAACAGCTGATTCAGAGGCTAAAGAAAACCCAATAAGAGCTGCAGGTACTGTCATATTATTTTTCACTAGGTGAGAGAGTTTAGTGGCAGCTTCATTTAGGGAAAAACTTGCCTGTGTAAAATATTTTCCTGAGAAACTCAGGCTTGCATTTTATTAGGGAAATACTAGCATAGTTGTGAAAGATTATGAGACAAATATATAGTTGTTTTGTTTTTTTTAATAAATGGGACAGATCACACCCACAGCCACATCTGAAAAGTTAGGAAGCAAGGAGATAATAGGGCCTTCAAATCAAGCTGAACTTTTAAACCTTTCTGATGCTATTAAGACTCCACCAGATGGGCTTTATTTAATTTGTACCTTTTATTTAGACTTGCTAATAAGGTTATTTCTTTCAGTCAGAAAGTAGCCTACGTATTAGAGCTTTCATTTACTTTTCTAAAATTAGAATGTTTCTTTCCTTGAAAGAAACTCCAAGTGTAAATTGAGTTGTAACCTCTCCGTTAGTAACTTATATAAATCACACAGTGAACTCATATTTGTACTTTTTTTTTTTTTGCGGTATGCGGGCCTCTCACTGTTGTGGCCTCTCCTGTTTCGGGGCACAGGCTCCGGACACACAGGCTCAGCGGCCATAGCTCACGGGCCCAGCCGCTCCGTGGCATGTGGGATCCTCCTGGACTGGGGCACGAACCCGTGTCCCCTGCATCGGCAGGCAGACTCTCAACCACTGCGCCACCAGGAAAGCCCCATATTTGTACTTTTGATGGGTTCCCAAGTAGAGTACACTTGTTTAGTAGGAGTCTACAATAAATTTATCATCTGCTTTTAATTTGATAAGGTCTTCAGTGGCTTTTTTCATTGCACATCTTCCTTAACTTGATTCAGGGTTTTTAGCTTCTCACAGTCCTAATCAATTCAGGGTCAGGTTGGTAAGCTGCAGTTATCTATATACAAAGCAGATAGTACGAGCTTCGCTTTGGGTAGCACTCACTAAGATAGGAGACGGGAAACTACTTCTTTTGAGACCCCCTGAAGATAGGTTGTAGTTCATCTTCATACAATAAAAATTAACCAATACAAGTTAAAGTTTCCTCATTCCAGTTTAATTCTTTCAGCCTCCTAATTTCACTCAGATCTAATTACAAAAAGCCCTTGCCAGGGCTTCCCTGGTGGCGCAGTGGTTGGGAGTCCGCCTGCCGATGCAGGGGACGCGGGTTTGTGCCCCGGTCTGGGAAGATCCCATGTGCCGCGGAGCGGCTGGGCCCGTGAGCCATGGCCGCTGGGCCTGCGCGTCCGGAGCCTGTGCTCCGCAGCAGGAGACGCCACAATTGTGAAAAAAAAAAAAAAAAAAAAAAAAAAAAGCCCTTGCCAGAAGTATGCCAAAGGGAGAAATGATCACTTAGTCCAAAACCTAATTTGGTATTTATTATAATAAAGTTTGTAATGTTAGCCTATTCTTTGTCCTGGCGGGGCTTTGTTTGTAAATACATTTGACTGGAAATTTACCATTTTATTGCCATTTACAGTACCATCCCTAGAGCCATTCCTAGAGAAGTGGCCCAAGGGAACGCTTTTCTTCCCAAACCTCAGTGCTCCTGGCTCCCAGATCGATTGCCCAGCCCAGCATCTAGGATTCTAAAGATGATTAATGCTGTCGTGGAATATTACAACAAAGAAACTGTAAAAGATCCAGAACACAACTAGGCATTTAGATTTTGAGGTAGATCTTGTTCAGCTTTTGTGTAACCTCACAGCTAAGGTAAAGCTAGAGTCTTACCTCAGTGATGTATCCCCAAGGCTGATAGAAACCAGTGTGTCTAGCCACCCTTACAGTTGGTGCTCTTAAAGGTATTTAATGTTTAATGAATCCCAACACATCAAGGATCTTTGGGATCCAAGCAAACTACATCTAGCTGGTACATTTTCTCATCAGTGGGAGCCATACTCCAGAGAACAGCTGTTAAGCTCCAAAGAGCTTAGCAAAACTAAAGCCATAACTACCAGTTGTGGGGCTTTGTCCAAATGTGTGGCAAGCCGTGCTTATCTGGCTCAAGATTGGAAAATGTTTTTTTGAGATAGTGCCTTCAGGATCAAGTCCCTGTTAATGAGAGGGACTTGATCCTGAAGGCACTATCTCAAAAGAGCTGCTAATGAATCAGATTAGGATTCTTAATCAGCCACAAGAGAGGAAAATGATAGATGTTTGAAGGGTAAAGTCTGTAAGTGAAGAAAATAGGAGGTACAGTCTGTTGTGATGTGGGGTAATAATTTGCACAGTAGAGGACAAGTTCTCCTGGGGTGATGGTATTTGTTTATATCCTGACTTGTTCCAGAAAGTTTGTGGCAGTCCAGAGAACATTGATGGGTTGGAGCTGAGCTTCTTTATTATAAACATAATGGCTGGCCATTATCTTTAGGAACTTACTTAGATTTTCTTTAAAGTACAACTTTTCTGGTATTGTTAAGTGAATGTATATAAAGAATTAAATGCAGCTATTCTAATTGTGTTTATTCTGATAATTTATCTCTCAGCTAAAAAGTTGCCGAAGAATGAACCACAGAATCCAGGAGCAAATTCTGCCAGAGGAAGAGGAGTAGACCTTACTGAACCCACGCAGCCAACCAGGAGTCAGTGCTGTAGTAACTAAACCTCCAGTTTAAACTAACTGGAATGTTCTTCTGCTTCCTAATTGTTAATAACAGTGGAATTGGAGCATTTAACCAGCCCAGTATGACTTCCAAAAAGAAGAGACTTACGATAGTCAAGTTTCTAATACAGAATTATTTTAAGTGTTTTGAACTTAACTTTTAATAACATGCATGTGACCCTCTGACTAATGTTTCAGCAGTGAAAGGGGAAGATGAGAGCTCTGTGTACACTTATTTCCTTGGAATGTTAGCGGGACTCATTTCTCTTCACCAGGGATATAAACAGATGACTCTGAACCCACAGTTAACCAGCCAGTTCTGTGAAAAAGATTTGGAACTTACTCATTTGGGCTTTCCAAAAAAAATTCTTTCTTTGGAAGGAGGTTCTAAAGATATTTATGCTTAGCTACGATATCCAAGCCACCTGTAATTTCACTTAGTATCCTTATTTAAAGTACACATTCCACATTTTAACAAATTAGCCACAAGGAAACATTCCCACATCTTCAGGGGGAAAAAATGAACATCAATGGCATCTAAATTATAGCTAGTCCTGTTATTTTTTAAATGGGGTAAAAAAAAAAATCATATGTAACCCTGTCTTATTTTAGGAATATGAAAACTGATAAAATGCATCTTGAAGAATAGTGTTCCCTTCAAACATGTAAGTTCTTCAACAAAAATGAAACAAACCAGGTGTCTGTGATTTCTGTTTAATCACTGCTGGCCATTACATAGCTTTTGTTGTTTGGGCGTAGGGAGGGGCTTTTGTGCCCTTTGGACATAGAAATAGTCAATGCACTAACAATTACGTACATTCAAACTTGATTATTTCAAATTCGATCTTCAGCTGTACTGTAAATAGGGTACTGCATTGTAGTCTCCATATATGTTTATTACTTTTCTGTAATATTTAAGAGTTGCTTAAAAGTATACAAAATGTACAGTTACTAAAACAGCTAATTTTTTCCTTCTCTCCCCCTTTGAAAGGAAGGGGCTTGAATTGTTCCTACCTGGCTAGAACCATAATAAACAATGTACCAGTAATTTGTAACATAAGTATTGGATATGTTAGTAACAATCTTGCAGCCTTGTTTTCCAAAGTTCACTTTATTTTGATCAGTTCAGTATATTGCACTAATTGTTTTAGGTATTTTCATTATATGAAATCTACCATGTGTCAGAGATGATTTAATCTATTTAAATGTTGAACTGCTAGCAGAACTTGTACATTTACAGTAATTCAAAATTAGTAAGGAAAACAGTTCACCAGTGTTTAGTTTTATATTGAGGTGCTCAGGTTGGAATAAAGTGGTACAAAAAGCAGGTACTGGTTTTTCTCTTTTTTGGCATTAAACAGTGAACATATATAAATGGTACTGTATAACCCACAATCCACAATCGGCTTTTATATTTCCTTTACTACATTCTTAAAAATGATTTGTGTGGTGTTGATGTTATCCTAGCATCTGGTTCACTGAAGAATTGTCTTCATGTTTTTGCTCTCTGGAGATACTCGCTTCCATTGAAAAGTGTGACCATGACTGTAATGTTGTCTCTGGAGCCAGCCGCCAAAGCAGCACTTACAAGTTCACGGCTGATATACTCAGCAGCACCTCCATAGAAACGCTTAGTGCATGATCCTTTCTCTTTTTCACTTGAGTCTTTTGGCACACCATCTACACTGGTTGGTCCATCAGTTTCTTTCTCACTGCAAGGATCATGCTTAGTCATTTTTGGTGGAAATGTTCCTATATTTTTAAGGTTATGAATAGAATCTTTTGAATCTGACAAATTTTCTCTTGAATTTATAGTTGACACACGTTCTTCAGATTTGCACTGAAACACTATGTGGATGTTAGTTTCTGGTTTAGATGTGTTTTGTTCATCGATTGGGAAAAGCAGAGACCCTTTGGATGGTGACAATTTGTTTCCTGTGATAGAACACTGTGCTTCTTTATATACTTGAAAAGCTGTCATTGTCAGTGCAGTGACTTCCTTTGTATCCAGAACTTCCCAGAGTCCGTTAGTAGCTAAGATAAGGAATTGACATAAGTCATCTATAGGCACAGAAATAGTTTGAGGTGCTGGAATAATGAATTTTTTCAGTTTGAGATTTCCATGAAATCCAAGTCCTCGTGTGGTTTTTATTTGCCCTTGTAGGAGCCTGTATGGTTCATGTGAACTAATTATTGCTCCATTCTGAAGTACTCTTCTTCTTTCATCTGTGTTTCGTGTAGTGTGTTCTTTGGTTAGGCAGAAGCCTTTCCCATTTCTGCATAAGACTGCTTGCACATTACCTAAAAGATTATTTTTAAAAATTGATCCTCGAGATTTATAACCATTTATATCAAAGCATGCTGTTAACTTCATAAATAGAAATCAGGCCGCTTAAAAATATTTTTTAAATATATGTAGTATTGATAGCATTATTAGAAGATTTACAGTAATTCAGATTTCAAGGGGGGGCTAATTTATTCCTCATTTTTAAGCAATTTAGTGTTTAAAATACTGAATTTAGTATTAAAATAACAAACTACAAATAATGAAAAGTAAGTAATTTTTTATGAAGCAGCTTCTGAGTGTTACATATTTGTAGAATCAAGAATTGAACTTTTTATAACTAACATATATTCCATAGAGCAGACATTTAAAAAATGTTTTAATGCCTTTTCAATTAAAAATACAAACTTTGATTTTTTTCTAAGAGTGCAGTTAGGTAAATTTTTAACTGGTCAAAGTTAAAACCTGAATATATTATAGGTATGGGTGATTAAAAAATTAGAAAGCCACTGTTAATGTTCATCTTATTAGGTTTGTTATGTGTGTTAAAAAGAAACTAAGTCAGCCCTGTGAAGAAAAATACGTGTTATTAATGTATTAAATGGATAATAGCTAACCAACATTAAACCCTTTGATTGAAAACTGAGGTATTAAAAATCTGATTGTAGTTTGTTCATGATTCAGATGAACCTGTGATATGTGCTTTATTAAAATCTTAAGAAAATCTTAACATAATGCGCTGAACAGATTGAAGGATGGTTGTATTACCAAAATTTTCTTTGGTATACAAAAAAGGACTCAGAATCCTTTAGTTTGTTAGGAAAAATTGACTTTCCCAAGTTTTTAGGAACATAATTGTATATTTATAATACCTATGAGAGTTAATATTGCTGGAATCATAGGCAAAATTTATGTTAGAATATTCTGATTTCAAACATGGCACCGTACCTGGAATCAGAATTTTGTTGGCAGGCCTTCATTTCTAATCCCCTAACGTTTTAGGTAAAGGGATTTAGGTTTCAGAAGGTAAGGTTCACACACCTAATATGTTGGACAGAGCCTGAGCTGGTGAAGAATCAGTGTCAGGCATAGAGTGAGCCTATTGGCTCATTTACATAATGGCAATTGTTAATATCTGAGCTATTGGATGGGACCAAAAGATGACTGTGTGGAAAATATTTTGGAAACCTGATAGCTGTATAAATGATAGTCCTCAAAACTGAATGACCTCTTTTGTTTGTGGTTTGGTTATTAATATTTTCTATTAACTTTTTTGCTGGTCCATCTGTTTACACTCTGCAGAAGAGAAATCAGTAAAATAATTCTTCTGCTGAGTTTTAAATTATTATTGTACCAGCAAAGCAGCATGGGTTGGTATTGAACATGCCAACTGAGTAGACTGAATTGTTCTCTTAGGAGAACATATGGTTCAGTTCCTCTTTTAAATTAGAAAATTTCTTTGTGTACCTACACACATAAAGAGTGTGACCATAGCTCTGGAAACACAGGGGCTCAGAATAGTCAATCCACTGACTTCTAAATGTTTTATTTGCATGTGGCAAGCCAAAGCTCACTCAGCAAAAAGAAAAAGCATTGTGTTTCTTCTGTGTGATTTGAAAAGCATTTAATATGATTGTGTAGTTACAGTGGAAGGGTAATAATATGTTGGTATTTTGATCTTAGTTGCCTCTGCAGAGAGCTTGGTAAACATATCTTAGAGGGCTTCCCTGGTGGCTCAGTGGTTGAGAGTCCGCCTGCCGATGCAGGGTACATGGGTTTGTGCCCCGGTCCGGGAAGATCCCACATGCTGCGGAGCCGCTGGGCCCGTGAGCCATGGCCACTGAGCCTGTGTGTCTGGAGCCTGTGCTCCGCAGCGGGAGAGTCCACAACAGTGAGAGGCCCACGTAACGCAAAAACAAAATAAAACAAAGAAAAAAAACATAGGTACTACTCTTTGCCTTTTTTTTTTTAATTGCTGTGCTGCAGAGTAGGAAATGCCGTTTTTGTTGATTTTATTATTGTGAACATCCCTTGAGCTCAGCACAATAAAATTTTCTAGAAAATGAGGACAGTAAGTAGTGGCTGCAGGTTTTGCCCTGCCATTGACTTGCTATCTGATTTGAGTTATTTAATTACTTGGACAGTTGATTCATCCTGATAAATGGTGCCTTCTGACTAACTCCTTAACCTGTGTGAATTTGCATGAAGGAAGAAGAAAATGAAGGGGAAGTACCCAGTGTTTCTCAACTATTCGTGCATAGCTCAGGAAATAGGATAATAAGAGGCCCTGGAAGAGTATCAATGGAATAGACATGGCGAAAAAGTGGATATGCAGAGCTAATAGTTCTATTTCCTGGACCTCGGGTTGCATGTGCTGTCAGCTGCAATCGGGGTTGTTGAAAGTGGTTGTCTACATAAAGCTGAAAGCTAGAATAGAATAATGAACAAAGGGCTTCAAGGAAGATGGGAAATTGGAGGGAGATTTAAAAACAACACTGTATATCCATATGTCTTGGAGAACCGAAGGAAGAGAGAGGAGCAAGACATGACAGTTTGAGAGAGAGATTGGCTTTAAAGAAGGGTTCCTGTAATATCTGTTTGGAGGAAATGAGAATAAGCGGTGAACTGTGATGAAGAAGACCTTTACACAAAAACATAATGAATCTGAGCATAAATAAGTGTTCAGATTCCTAGACATAAAGTTACCAGCTTTCAGTAGTTGGAGAGATGGTGCTGTTCAGAAAAATGTTGTTGAACAAAAGTGGAACCTGAAACTAACAACGTTGTAAATCAACTGTACTCCAATTAAAAAAAAAAAGGAACTGTTGTTACTAGAAGGGCAACATGTTTAAGGACATTAATGGGAACTAAAATGAACTGCTTTGAGATGATATTTAAGCGTTTTTAAGATGACACGTATGGGGGCTTCCCTGGTGGCACAGTGGTTAAAATCCGCCTGCCAATGTAGGGGACACGGGTTCGAGCCCTGCACCAGGAAGATCCCACATGCTGAGGAGCAACTAAGCAAGCCTGTGCGCCACAACTACTGAGCCTACTCTAGAGCCCACGAGCCACAACTACTGAAGCCCACGTGCCTGGAGCCCGTGCTCCACAACAAGAGGAGTTACCGCAATAAGAAGCCTGTGCACTGCAACGAGTTGCCCCCCTCGCTGCGACTAGAGAAAGCCTGTGCGTGGCAACAAAGACCCAACTCAGCAATAAAATAAATAAATAAATAAAATAGATGACACGTATAGTCAGGCAAAGTGTTCCTTATGCAGAAAGCAATGACATAACTGCCTTCTGCAATTGCTGGGTTGTCTCTAGTTTGTGAAAAGGAGGAGTGTCCCCGTCAACTTCAGAATGACTTCTAGAATCAATCCCAAATGGAATTCTAGATCTGAATGGGCAAGATCTTTTTTTTTTTTTTTTTCCAGATGGGGCCATGAAGGTCATTTAAACAGAAGTTTTAGGAAAGGACTGGAGGAAAGAGTAAGAGAAATGTTATATGGTGGTGAGAAAAGGAAATATCCCTAAGATGCCTGAGTGCCCTGGATAAAAAGATGGCTTGGCTTAGAAGCAGCAGCATGGGGAAGAGGAAAGACTTGAGAGCTTTTTACTTGGGACTTCAATCCCAGTTTTGTCTGTGTGACTTTCATTAAGTCACTTTATTTCCGTGAGTAGCAATTTACCACCTGCAGTATTTTTTGTCGAGTTTAAGAAGGTAATTTAATAAGTAGACACTTGACAAAGGTTATTTTCCTTTCTGTTCCATGAAGGGGAAAAGCAGCTGAAGAGAGTCTATCCAAAAGAGATTGAGATGAAGCTATGAATGTTTCATTTCAGACCCATTTAAAAAAAAACTATAAGAAAATCCTTACAAAGAGTTATAGGCTTAAGGGAGTAGGGAGCAGGAACTTGGAACTTGGGAAATGAGGAAATAGTTATTGGAGAAAGAAAAAGGAGCAGTTGAAAAACAGCATAAACAAACTAAGGAAATTTAAACCCTAGTGAAGTATCCCTAAAATGGAAGCATAGTAGAAATACCGGTAGATGAGGTTAGGAAAACAACTTACATCCAGTTTTTTTCAGGATTCTAATTTTGGCAAAAGAGGCTGAAATTGTATGCATGGGTGCCATGTGTTGACTCTTCCTACTGGTGATTAGCATGAGAGCCTTATTGATGTGGAGCTAGTTTTCACTGTATGTTCAAAAGATTCCTTTGATTGTTTTGTAAGATGTGTGAGCATGAAACTCAAGTTCACCATTTTCCAACTGGAGCCTAACAGTACTTCACACATCAGTCTCAACTATCTGTCAAATATTTGTTGATTATATTCTCAGAATCCAGTTTGTATATATGTGAGTCCACATATATACAAACCAACATACCCCAAAAAAGGGAGATGGGGAAGGAAAAGTCTATAAAAGGTCAGTGTTGTTTAAGAATATGTATATGTATATGTGTGTATGTATATATATATATATTTTTTTTTTTTTTTTTTTTTTTTTTTTTTTTTTTTTTTCTTCCCTGCTTAAGGTGATTCTGGAGTTGAATTAGGTTTTAGGGGAAAAAGATGGGGCTGGAAGTAATTTTAAAAGCAACTTATTTAACCACTAAGGACAATCACATCTAGATAGGAAAATCACAACAAATTAAAAGATCTGCAAGCACAGCATCAGTTGTGAATGAGGAAGGTGAAGACACATAAGAATGAAGGGACACCTTAGAAGCAGGAAGCTGCTGGTGTTCATTTGAAGTAATGAGACTTTAAAGGACATGGGTTCTGGCTCACTAATGATATAACCATATATAATAAGGCTTTGGTGAGCCTCAAGCTTCTATTAAAATGGGATTATTCTTACCTCACAGGTTGTGAGGGTTAGATAAAGGAGTCATTGTTAACCTTAAGAGAGAAGAAAGGGGGCTTGAGGAACAAAGAATTGTGAGTAATAGGGAAGTAGTGGGTAAAGTCATGCTTGGCCTCTGGATCTAGAGTGAGCTCACAGGACAGAG